ATGTTTCATTTATGTCTGTGAGCAAGTTAAGTAAGTTTTATCTGTGACATCCCGCAACAAGTTAGTATTTTTGAAAGCCAAGCTCGCACCACCTTTCGAAAATAAAAAGCGAAAAATTTTACTCTGATTTTCAAAGCTAGTAAGGCGGGGTGTGACATTAGATCTACTGAGGACTCCTTAGATATTTAGTTTTCTTATTACTTCAGATTTCTAGATTGTTTAGGACTTTAATAATTTATTGCTTTATTAGGAGATTTAGTTTGATTAGGAGTAGATTTATTTGAAGCCTATATAAAGGCACTTGCTTTTGTTATTTTGATCATCGAATTATTAATGAAAAAACTGAACTTCTTGTTCAAATTCTTGTGTTAGAATTCTTTTGATTTTTTAACGCAAAACCTTTGTCACGAGAAGGGCGTCCACCGCATTGCTCGAGCAAGACGAGTTGGACAAGGACATCCGTCCGAGCTGTCTCACCTATCGCGAGAAGATAAGGAGTTAACCTCCGAGTCGTCCGCACCCACGTCCAAGGACCGAAGCCCGAGCCAAGTCCGAGGCAAGTCACAAGTAGGAACGCGTGATTATTCATCACCGCATTGCTCGAGCAAGACGAGTTGGACAAGGACATCCGTTCGAGCTGTCTCACCTATCGCGAGAAGATAAGGAGTTAACCTCCGAGTCGTCCGCACCCACGTCCAAGGACCGAAGCCCAAGCCAAGTCCGAGGCAAGTCACGAGTAGGAACGCGCGATTATTCATCACCGCGCCCCAGCGCGCCAGCCATGCCCAGACCGCACACCCAGCACGCCAGCTGCACCCGGTTCCGTGCCAGACCGCCCGGCAGCAGCCCGACCAAGCCGGTCCAAGCCCGAACCCAGTCCTTTGACCTTGTTTGACATGTTTTCTGATTTTTCTGAACCTCTTGACCTCCATTAACCTATTTGACTTCGTTTTTAGTGTCGAGTAAATTTTTAAAGATTTTCAAAACTAAGTCCCGAGTCTAGCTTTCAAATCCTAGTGTTCCAACTTCCACAGAACTTCACGAACGACTTAGTCGAAATTGTTCGGCTAAGTATGATAGTTTGCGATGTCTTTCTAAGGGTCAAGGTAAAATACTTATGACGTATTCTTGACTAAATGTAGGTGTTTGACGAGTTGACCTCGCAACCTACATAGCAGACCAGTGGTATTTCCATTCTGCTGAACCAGGTGGGTTTTATTTGAAAATTGTCTATGCAATAAATTGTTTGCTTACTTGTGTATGATCAATGTATCCATGTTAACCATGTAGCCTTCGATGTGAGTTGTATCGGCCGTCGAACGGTTATCCCGGTAGCTATAGAATGTACCCATTGGGTAATCTCCTTTTGGGAACCGTAAGACCTGGGCATGGGCCTTGGCTGGTGAACCCCGTTGGGCGGCGGGGTGGTTACTACTACTAGCTAGGGGATCGATAGAAGCCCGAGGGGCATTCGATATTTTACCCAGCAGTAGTCTATGCGTAGGTGTGCACATGAGTCTGATTTTATGATGATATTATGATGGGAGATTGGGATACTTAATTGTTTCATGTACATGCGGTGATCATACTGATTTTATATATTGATTATCATTTATTGCATAGTGGTGAGCACAACGGTTTCCATATGTACTCACTCCCACCTGAAATTAACGTTTCAGGTTGAGTAGGGCAGGCATGACGACGAGAAGGGGCGAGTGGTGGTCGGTTCTTATGACCCGATTATTTAGTCATTGCTTCCGCTATTTTATGAACTGATTTTACGAACTTATGAAATTATGAACGCTGAGATTTTATGACGTTTGATATAATGCCGAGAAGATGCCCCGTGAATCCTGTGATGAATTTTTAGGAACCCGATTTGGGTAAAAAGATTATTTATGATTTCATGAATCTCGTTTTGGGAGTTGATTGATGTTATGAGATTATGATTGATGTTGAATTTTAAATGAGTAACGCAACAAATGTTTGAAATAAATTTTGAAAATTTAGCTGATTTTTCTGAAAAATCATGGATTTTCGTTAATCAAAGTGGGACGTTACATTAAGTCAAGATATAAAATCAACACCTTATCTTGACCTAAAAAGAAAATCACAATCAGACTTAGCCGAATTTGATTCGACTAAGTTGTTCGTGGAGCCCTGTGGACTTTGGAACTCTTGGACTTAGACTCGACCGAACCATTTATTGGAGTTCACACACTTTCAAATAATAGATGGTCAAATCAAACAACAAGGGCAACATACGAATCGGCTTACAGACCTTAATACAAAACTACACTTTGAAAATAATTGCCGAGAAATCACAAATTCAAGATGGTCCAGCAAACCAACGAGTTAGGCTCTGAAATTTTAACAAAAAATTCACCTCCCTGGACTTAGTAAAATCACCAAGTTTCAGCCATTAACTCAAAAAACTCGATTTTATAAAATTCAAACAAGATGTCAGCAAAAACGGACATAAATCAACAACCTGACCTAATGAACGAATTAACATCTGAAATTTTTACATAAGCATCTACAGAATGTCAATAACAACATATATAAATTTCAGATATTAACATTACAAACACGAATTATAAAAATTAAAACAAAATTCTGCAGAATTTGAATTTTCATTAAAACCGAACCAAAATGAACTCAAATACATCCGATCTTTTTACATCCTGAAACACATCATAAAATTAGGCCAGACACCAAAATTCAGCAATTTACAACATTAGGTCAGTTTATCATAATTAAATCACGGTTTTGCAGAATACATTAAACAATTTTTAACCCTAGCACACGAAGTCCAAAAATCATGAAAATTTTATACAACATCTTAATACGACAACATACTAACAATTTAGCCAGTTTGAAGCACAAATAGATTTTATATGCAATTTACAATATTCTGCCCAAAAATTAAAATAATTAATTAAAATAGCTACAGTTAGTATTTAAATCTGAAATTTGTACACGGCATGTATAATCAACAAAGGACCTTTCACACAAAAATTCACATTAATTGGAACAGCATACAATATATCACGAATTTTACAAATTCCGGCAGCAATATAGATTTCAAAAGTTCATATCTCCCAATATACAATTCAATTTGACACAAGGTCAAAACCATTGTGTCAAGGACAATCCTAAGTTCCAATTCCCACAGGCTTAACACGAATTTACGATGTCTCATTCGATTTCTCAAAATCAAAGAGATCGATACATACATTAATTAAAATAAAGCCAAACATACTCATAACATATAACAATCACATTAACAAACAACACATGAATAAATGAGAGAGGGATCGAGTCTCGATACCGTTCTCGGAAAACATGCGAGAAAGGATCGAACGGGAGTAGACGAGACAACGAAAATGACTCGCGGTGGATGCTCAGCTGCTCACGCTCGGCTCGCCGGTGAAGCAGCGGCGTGAGCAGGAGCAGCGGCGACGGCTTGCAGAGGAGGAGGCTCGCGGAGGTGCAGGCTCGTCGTTGAGGGCTTCGCCTGTGAACGTCTGCACGAAGGAAAGAGGGTCGCCGGGAAGGAGGACTGGTCGCGGCGGTGTTGCGAGTGGAGGAGGGTTGCTGGTTCACGGCGAGTCGCGGCAGAGGAGTCGTTGCAGGCCGTGGACAAGTTTCACGGAAGCGGCGATGATGACAGGAGGGGGATGGATTTTTGCGAAGGGAAGGGCGACCGTGATCGGGCGAAAGAGAGAGGGAGAGGGTGAGGGTGACGGGTTGTTTCTGCATGAGATCAAAGGATGAGAGAAGACGAGTTGCGGCTTTACAAGAGGAGAGAACGAGAGATTTTCTTCTCTGTCGTGATCGAGTGCGAGGCTGCAGTGTGAGGGAGAGAAAACTAATACACGGTTTTAAATCAATGAGCTCAGGGTTTAATTTACTTGCCTCACATGACACACACACACACGCCTAAGGGAGAAAACCGGGTCGGCGGTTCGGTTCAGCTGGGCCGGGGCTGGGCGCCAGTTCGGCTTTGGGGCGCCGGTTCGACCGGTCCATGCAGGCGTGGGTTTTTAAAAATAATTCGGCTCTCGGTTCTCAGTTCTCGGTTTGATCGAACGACAATAAAAACCGGGAAATATTTATTTAATACGCACATTATTTAAAAATAGTAACAATAACAATAATAATAATAATAATATGCATTTAGGCAATTAATGACAATTAGACATATTATATTTAGACATTCAATAGTAATAACAATAATATTAATAATAATAACAATAATAATAATCATCAATAATAAACCACAAATGGGCATTACACGTCCAATACTGAGTTAGAACCTTACAGGCACGAGCAGTGCATCCAGGTCACGTGCTCGTATCGCCAAACTATTGGTCGAGCAGAGGCGTCACGCAGGCGACAAGGTCAGGCGTGCGCCTCCGCGCCGGGAGCCCGTATACATCGCCCGAACTCAGAATTGTGCTTCGTTTTTTCCGACTCGTCCCCAACAAACCCTTTTAAATACATACTACATGGTTATGACTCGTTTGACTTGTCCATACATTCGTCAAATAGAAAACATTTGCGAGTCCTACAGTACCGTAAATCTATGAAGCCATCGGATGGTTTCCTTATGGAGTCATTCACCACTTTATGTATTGACACGTGTCCAATGGGTATTTATTGGAGGACACGTGTCAATACATGATTTGTGGATAACTATTTGATCTAAAATCAATTTTAACTTACACAATCAATTATAAAATTAATTTCTCATTCAACGTAAAATAGTTTTGATATTTTATTCCAAATTTTCCACTTATAGCTAAAAAATGGGTACAAATATTGGTAGAGTTGCATATACACACTTGAGAAACTATTCACAAATATTAGTATATTCACACAAATCCATGCCGAAAATGAAAATTCCAACACTTTCAAAACATGAAATACGAGTTCTCGAGCATACTTCCATTTCTTAACAGGAAATCCAATTTCTTCCAAAATCCAATTACTAATACCAGTAACTGGTGTGGGAACAATTCCATGCATGGCCATCGTGCTTAATATCAGTATTTTGTGAAAGCTCGATGGTTTTATTAGGTAACTATTAACTGAGATAATCTCAGATCCAAAGCAAAACACAATTATATCTGATATAAAAATAAATTGAACATAAAAACAACCCAATATACATTGCTCGGGGGTCAAGTATAGGTCATTAATCACTCGACTACAACCTAGCAAAACATTCAAACCAAGCTGTCTACAACATGTTGAACGTCATATCATATACAAATACATTTGACACCACTACACTTGCCTTAAATTTTACCAATGTGTGCATATATGTACATACTATGATCTAACTCGTTAGCAAAACCATACACCCACAGTCAATATCATATCCATGATGGAAGCACTTGCAGTTTTGCAATCAAGTTGAGATGCTGTGATGGACATATATTGCTGGGAGAAAATCAGACAACAGCATCTGACTGTCTTTTGATCAAACGTGCATATAGCCCGTCCTTCCCCAGGAGCTCCATGTGGTTGCCCATCTGAAAAGTTTGATCAGAGAATACCAACCCGAAATATTTACACCCATTCCACATGAATTTCAAGCTGCCCATAAGTTAGTATATGTAACATGTTCTATACAATATACTTGCATACTACTTTCCAGGTGATTGCAGAATCAATTAACTATGGAATATTAAGCAATATTTAATTAACGACCTATTCTACTAAGACCCCAAATTCAAAACTTGACATAACATACCTCAATGATTTTGCCACCATCCATCACTATTATTCTGTCTGCAGTTTGAACTGTTGAAAGCCTGCGAACATGAAAGACGGTTCATCAGTATATTCAGCAGGCCAAACAAATCTACAACACTAGAGGTTGGCCTCATTACTGCACACACACACACACACAGAGACTAAACAGTATATTATCCAAATTGCAAATAACCACTTCAAGAAATGATTCCATTTCACAAACCACATATCAAACTCCCAACTTAAGTTTCATCAACTTTTACCTATGTGCAATTACGAAGACTGTCCTCTTGGTTACAAAATCGCTTTTCACAGCACCAAGCACACCCTGTTATAGAGCAAAATCATTAGAGCAGAAAGATATATTATACATGTCTAGGGTACTGGGAATTTATAATGTTTAGAAAAAAATGATTGATGTTTTTGAAAAAATGATGGAATAGATATTTAAAGCTATTTCTATTTGTAATGTTCAGAAAAGTTAAAGGATGAAATTGCAAAAAATTGCAACGTCAGCAATTCCCATTGACTTGCAGGGGTCACCTAAAAGAGAGTGGTTTCTGTAATTTTCAATCTCAATTGTTTTTCTTTATCTTTTTCACACACTCCAGAACTCGAGTAGCTTAATCAATTCTATATCTTTCTCTACCTTGACATTATGTTCGCTCTCTACATCTAAAGCACTCGTGGCTTCATCAAGTATCAAAATGGTAGGGTCTCTAAGAATAGCCCTTGCGATTGCGATCCTCTGCTTTTGACCTCCACTGAGCAAATCGTCATCAACCAGTGTTTGGTAGCCATGTGGCAGGGATGAGACAAATTCATGTGCAACAGCTTGTTTTGCAGCCCATTCAATATCCTGCTGACTAACATCTCGAGGACAACCGTATTTTATGTTCGAACTGACATCCATTCGAAAGAGTGGGGG